TTTCACGTGCCCGTACGTGAGCCCAGGGCAGTCCTGGGCAGCTGAATTTGAAATCTTTTTGTCGTACACTGGTGGGGAACATTTTCCCAAGTTTTCAGCTTTCTAGCTTTTCTCGTTTCCGAGTTAGCGATTTTCGCGCCAAAACTTTCACGTGTTCATACGCGGGGCCCAGACGTGCGCGAGGGTTGAAACTGCGGTCCTGGGCTGGTACCTGGCTGGGGAACACACTGGGAAAATTTCAGCTTCAAGGCTTGCGCGGTTAGCGAGTTGAAATACCCGGACAGACGAACACACACACACAAACATACACAGACACACACACACACACACTGACAGGGTCGTTGCAATATACGTTTTTGCTGCCTGTTGCAACGCTCTAGCGCTGCACGGCAAAAACGCATAAAAATCCATGTTCATTTGCATATACAGTTGCGGTTCAGGTCCGAGTTGCCAAAAATGCACGTTCACTTGCATGCACAATTGCGGTTCATATCCGAGTTGCTAACGATTTTTGGGTTCAGGAGCTGCTTAAGGCTCTGGTTGGGGAGCTAAAGGGCTGAGTTTAAAATTTTTATCTCGCACGTGCATAGGATATTCATTAATAAAACAGCCAAGTTTGGCAGTTACTAGAATTTGGCTCGGCTCAGCCGGCGTCATACACGAACCGCGAAAAAAAATTTTTTTTGATGATAGCGAGTAACGTTGCCCCACAATAAGTGGCCGACGTTTCAATGTGGCAGGTGGGAAAGAATGGTGATGTGCTGTGGGTTCGTTCTACGGAAAGGGGCTGGGATTGGTGGATTTGACGGCTACGTGGCGTAGTTCCTTTGTCGGTTGGCTTGGCCACGCACAACTGGAGGAAGGGGCAGAGGGAAGGGCGGGGAGGGGAGGGGGTAGGGAACAAGGAGGTTTTAAGTTTTTATTGAATGGGTCGGATAAAGTGCCTAAAACAAAGTTTGTTCTTAACTATCTGATACCGTTTTTGCTTGCAGCTTCGGGTGGTACTTTCAGGACACGTTGCAGCGACTGAATGCTTTGTGCAGCATCTCGTAATTCTTCAATATCTGTGTTGATGATTTCATCGTCCGATTCCGTGTCGACTGGTTCTGGTACCAAACTTTGCCGTGGAGTTCCCCACACCTGTTCAAACAAGATTTTTTAGGAGAGATGAACTTAAATGAATTCATGAAGGTGAACGATTCTTTTTACCTTAACAATGAGTGTTAAAACAATCGCTGAATTATGGAAGTGGCTTTTACCAGCAGCATCTTCCCAGGCTGTTGAAAGTATCAATTCCGAATTCTCCAAAATATGCTGGGATTTGATAAATATGTTAATTTCCTTATTTTTATTATTACAATCGTTATTTTTTCGACTAGACGATGAAAACTAAGA